AGGCTGTTATGTAATTAGGTATATATACTATACGGGGGGAGGGGTGAATTAGATATAATACACAGGGGGTGTATATATACCATACAGGGGGTGGGGTGTATATATACAATACACGAGGGTGTGTGTGTAAATAAACTATAATGGGGGGAGGTTTATACTGTACAATGTGTGCATAAAAACCGGCATTTCAACCAGGCGGTCAAAATTGACCTTGACCAAGACGTGCAATTTTGACCGGGAAGAAAAAAGGCAAAAAAAGAGCAGTAAAAATCAACTTTTTACAGTGAAGGTAAAATTAGCATATAACTAACATCAAATGCACACTTTTCATAGAAATAAAAAAATTTTGAAAAAATTTTTTCACTGATTTATATCTGTTGGATCTGGAGGTTCATGAATTTGAACCTCCTTCATGTTGCTAGCTGCTCTGGCATCCTATCAACCTGTAACGTGCCTGCAACCTATAGGCGATACTCAGCATATCTGTAGGAAGGGCGGGAATGAAACAGGACGACATTTGGTTTAAAAATGAAGGCGCTAAAAAATAAAAACCTTACCCAGTCAAAATTGACCGTCTCGTCACTAATGGGTTAATAAATGAAGAAATCGTATTTTAGTTTTAGTTTGTCATTTCGTTAACAAAGGTAGGTATTTTTTTTGACAATCATTTATGATTGGGTGACATGATGTTAACAGATATTATTTATCATTACCATATCCAATACCAAATCAAATTAGATCAATTAGACTTCTAGGAATGTCCTACCTCTGTACTTTAAATCCAAGATGACTATACCAAGTCAAAAATGAAGCATGGGTTTACAATTATAGCTTTGAATTAATTAATTTTAGCAAAGTAACTTGTACAATAAAACTATTTTGTTTTAAGTTTAAAGTACATTTTCACATTCCTCTTAATTCTGTAAATCGCCAATTTAAAATACTTTTAAAATGAATTGACAACCTTTGCTAGACAACATTTTTGTTTGTTTTTTCTACAACCACACATCAGTTTATATATAAAAAAACAAACAATATAATTCTAAGGAATCTTTTATGCGAATATTTGGTGAAAATTTTGACAACATTTTTTCGAGAATTTCTTGGTAAATATTCTCCATTGAAAAATTCCTGTACAGTGGCTGGGGCTAGATTTCCTTGTGATTATTACCTGGGAATTTATCAGAACAAATTCTGAGAAATTTCTCATAACCCATTCAGAGGAATTTCTTGTAACCCTGTTCTGGGGAATTTCTTGTAATCAATTCCAAGCAACTTTTTGTATCAATTCTGAGAAAATTTTTGTAACCCAATCCGAGGAATTTCTCATAACTCTATGCAAGAGCCTTCTTGTAACCAATTTAATGGAATTTTTTGTTACCAATTCTGGAGAATAACTTGGGAAAATGTCTACAAAAGGAACTGAGTTTTTGCCATGAGTTTTTTAATTCCTATACCTTTGCAATCTGATGGTGTAGACCTTTGATATTTCAAACTATGAATTTTATCAGATCAAACATTCTGAAATATCAAAGGTTTACAACAGCGGGTTGTAAAGCAATAGGGATTATAATATTTGAGTTTATGGCAAAAACTCTATTCCTTTGGGAATTTTCTTGGAAACACCAAGAGAAAAGTTTTTCAGAACTAATACCTAGGAATTTCTTTGAAACTATTCCCAAGATTTTCTCAAGAGTTTCTTAGGAATATCTTGAGATAATCTCAGCAAATTCCTGAGTAAATTCTCTTTCCAGGACTTAGACCCAATAGTAGTTAAACCATTTATATTGCCACTTAATTTTTGTTTGGTATAACCAACTTATTAAGTCAATATGCTTTACTGCATGAAGTAGTCTTGTATTTTGTATTTTCAGAAAACTGAATTGTCAAGAACAAATGAACAAATTTAACCATTTTTCCAAAAAAAATGTTAAAGATGGTTCTAAAGTTAATAATCATTTTCATCAATAAGGATGCAAAGAAAAATTTAGTTAGGGCAGTGCATAATAAAGGGAAGCTTAGAGGCACCTAATGGAGAAAAGTGCAACTTGAAATTTCTGTAAAAATGGTGATGAAGTCCTTAGAATTTCTCAGGAATTTCCAGAGAATTATTCCTGAGAAATTCTCAGGAATTTCTCTCGAATTTTATTCTTACTCACTTCCACCAAAAATAATTAAAATTAGTGTCCCAGTCCCAAGAATTTTACAGGAATTTCCAAAGAAATAATCCAAGGATTTTTTTAGAAAAAAAATAGCTTGAAACATTTTTTCTAACTTTTTAAAGTTTGTTGAAAGTTCAAATCTTTATTTAGTAAAAGTTTGCTAAATTTAATGAAGCTATGCAAAGAATTTAATGAAGCTATGCAAAGTTTTAAATAAAATATAGGGAAAAAACGAACTGAATACAATTACATTAAAACTATTTTTGCATATACCTTCCCTTAGGGTTAAAGTTTGGCATAATGTAAGGAAAGCAAATGTATCATAAAAAAGAACATTTGGAAATTTTAAAAGTTTAAAAATATTTGTAAAACAAATCATAAATAAGTGTAATGAATACTTATGATTCCAATTAAAGAATTTACTTTCAGGGGTCTCAGTTCTTGCTTGCAGTAAAAATTATAAGAGATAAATTGCTTTAAAAAAATTTCAATTTTCAACAGTTTTCATTAAGGAGTTTGTATTTTACTTCAGTAAGTTTTATTTTTTGGTTTGATACAGTAATATATCTTAAATAATTTAAAACCTATATAAATCAATCATTGAATTAGGTCATGATATTGCGATTCTTACAATTAACACCAAAATAGACTTAAATCTTCCCAACATTCAGCCAGTTTGCCTTCCTTACACATACACTCAAGGAAAAATAAACATATTTGAACATTAGAAATATCAAAAATCCCATAAAAGTATGAATACAAGCAAACACTCAATGAAAACTTTGTTGTGAAAAGTTTTTTAATTTTTTTTTGCCTTTGTTGAACCTTGTACTTATTATTGCCCTGTAAGATGGGCATAATTTTCATTAGCGAACAACATTTTTTCGCGAATTACCAAATTACCAAATGATGAACGAACAAATTGGATGGATTTTGTAATAATAGAAACTTATCTTTTTTTCAGAATTAAAGGTTAAAAATCATGTACAATTTATTTCCATCAGACATAAAATGAAATATTTCTAAACTAATTGTCAAAAAGGTTCATAATCATGATCTTAAACATGCATAAACATTCTAGAAATTGTTTGTGAACATTTTATTATTCAAACAATTTCACCAAACAAGTAATCAGTCAAAAACTGAAAACAATTATTAAAAACTAACAAAGATGTAAAATATCTAAGAATGTTTGTTTAATTCCACTTGTCAGAAGTTGGATCTCCTGCTCAAGTTGCTGGGTTTGGAGTATTTGTTTCACCAAGGTAGAATATTTAATGCAGGCTAGTGAACCATTAGTAGGCTGTTATGTAATTAAGAAAATTTTTTAAAAAAACCTGGCCCAGCTATGCTGAGTTGACAGAGAGGAAGAAGACAAAATGGTCATAACCCCGTGGAAAATATCCAAAACCTGTTGAATGGTCTCCGAACCCTGTGGAAAGTCTTTAAACCCTGTAGAGGAGGTTTTTTGAAAAGCGTTATAAAATATTAAAACTACTTTTAAACTAGAAATAATTGTTGAACTTTCTCGACATATGGACTTAATAAATATAATAATCAATTTAGAGAAACAATTTCATTATTTTTTTGATCATCTTTTTCTTCAAATTTTGTTTACCCTTAAAAGATTGGATCTCAAGTCTGAATATCATTGACACTATTTATAGAATTATCTTTATTTCTTTTTATTGTCTGTTTTAAATTAAAGGGATTTGCTGATAATAAGTTTTAATAAACGTAATTTACTGAGGCATATATACTGGAGGTAGGGGCTAATGGGGCTCCATGTTCTATCCTGGATCAGTGAAGTCTATGGTTTTCATGTGATATGCAGGCTTAATTTTGTACAAGAAGGGGGAAGGGGGAAAAGGGCGGAGAGGAAATGGTGAAAGGGGAAGGAAAGGAAAAGGAGATTGGAAAGGGGATGGGTAAGGGAGTGGGGGAAGTAAAAGGGAATTCTCCCTGTTGCAGGGTTCAGAGACTGTTTCTGCAGGTTACAGAGACATTTCCTCAGGGTTCATGGCCCCTTGGCCTTCCCTCCCTCGTTGACACTCTCTGCTAGCCATGTACAGTACTCCATACAATCCACTTTATGGCAATTAAAAAATAATCACACAGAGTTCTCTGGCCTTGATGATCAGTCAAAGGTTTAAAGGATACTGTTGTAAATCAGGTATAGCCATCTTTGCCACTTTTGTCAAATTAGGCAAAAAATCCCTTTGATGTTCTTTCATAACTGAATCTGTTTTAGAAATGGGGAGAAAACCTATCCTTCTGTAATCCAGAGTGTGACTGTCTTTGTTGATTCAAAGGAAGACTGTGTCAAGCAATGGAAAATTAGGAATTTAATATATATATATATCTCTCATACTAGAAGTAATTCTTTTTTTCAAAGAGGAAATATTTGAATATTTAGTAATAGCTATTTAATTATTTCCATAAATACATTTGCAAATCAGTTTTAAATAGAAAACCTTCAAAAATATCAAATAATTAAAATATTTCTTCATAAATAATTTCGTAAACTTTTTTATTTACTTTTGTCAATATATCATATTTGTAGAGGAAATCAGATCTGTGCCAGGGGTAAAATACCAAAGCCCTTTCCAGGTAAAACTATATAATGTATTTTCTAGTGAGTGTTGTTCATTTTTTTTGTAAAATAAACTCAAACAAATCTAGTTTAAACCAATTCACATTATCAGACAATTACTTGCTTTTGTTTTGCACAAATTTGACACCAAAATTGCATATTTTTGAGCAAAAAAAAATAGACTTGATTGAGGAAAGGCAAAGGTTGTGCAAATTGTTTAATTTAATGCAGATTAACCTACTAAACACTATATCTTTCTCATATTTTATGTAAACTGTATTTACGTTTATTGATCATTTTATAGTTTCCAAATCTCTTGATATATTATCAAAAATGTTGAAATTAGGCTAAAATTTGGTATATTTGTTTGTCAAAAGATCTTGCAAAAATGTTCACAAAATTGAGCAAAAATTCTCCTCATGTTCTTATTTTGGTTGGTTGAACGAAAATTTTGCAAAGGAGATTGAACAAAAATTTGGAAACCAATAAGTCATTTAAATGTTTTGGCCTATTTTATGCGTAATTTTGCTATATTCTATCCTTTTCATTTTTGGGTATCAACCTCACCTAAATCAAATAAGACAAAATATAAAAAGTATTTTTTTTTATATTATTATTTTAATTTATTTTCAATCAGGAGATGAATCTTTTGAGATAGTGGCAGATAGCTGTGATGGAGACAGGGACAACATAATAGAAATCAAAAACTTTAAGATTTACTTTAATTTTCAATGTGTATGTAGATTTTACCTAATTTTCCTTTGGTTATATATCTTTTTTTATAAATCAGTCAATCTTTTACAAGGAGTTGTTACATTAAGACCCAAAACATTTTTAAGCAATACAAAAAAAACATTGGGGGGGGGGGGGCAATTAAAAATTCTGGTTTCCTTTTTATCTGGAAATGTCCCAGAATTCCACTGTTTTAAAAAAATTACCATTTTTTCCATGGAATTTTTTTTCCAAGAGTAATGTAAACCTGACTTCTAAATATTATTATTAATATACAATGTACTATTTTTCCATTTCTTAATCATCAAGGTTTATTTGACCATCAGGAGGCTCCACATATATCTTAGAATTATAAAAAAAAATAGTAAAGTTAGAAAATGGAGAAAAAATTTTTTTTGTTAGAAAACAAAAGACGAAAAAATATAGTTTTTTGTTTAACAAACGGAAGACAAAACAAAAATTACAAAACAGAGAACAAAAAATATCTTTTTTTTGTTTTGAAACAGAATACAAAATTGTATACAACATAGGACAACTTTTCAAATATTTCAAAACAACAACTTTTAATTACAATCGTTTGGAAAAAATTTAAACAATTTTATGAGATCCTAGGGCATGCCCATTTATTAATGGAAGATGAATTTACTTTTATTGTGGTAATGTAGTGGTGGGGGTCTGACAGCAGCTACTGGACCTGACCAGAGGAATAACAATTTACTTTGTCCATGAAATCAGAAATCTCTATTTAATCCCAATTTCTATGCAACTTGATGATGTAGATCTCTGATATTTCAAGCTTAGATTATTTAAGCTAACAGAATTTATAGTTTGAAATATTGTTTCAAAGACTCAAATCCTTTCAATTATTTTAAATCATTTGAAATGACAAATATTCCTTTTAAATATCTTTAAATTTATAAACAAATTATAATCCGTTAAAAAATTAAAGCATGGTAAATTAATAGGACAGTTTTGTATGGGATCACTTCTTTTGGAGAACAAGACTGTGGTCGTGTAGGTAAGAATCAAAAAGAATTTTTGTTTTAAGTTAATTAGAGTCAGGGTAAAACATGTTTCAAAAAATGAAAAATTAATTTTCTTACAGATATTTAAGTCCTTGATAGCACAGTGAATTATTCTTTCACTAACAAAAAATTAAAATTTGATGCTCATAATATGGATTAGAGTAAGAAATTAGAATATACATAACATTAAAAGTTTTAAAGAATAGATGTTCTAGGTGGAAAGTCTGGAGTATACACAAATGTTCATGATCATATGGACTGGATAACACCAATAATCAGTGACGAGGTAAATAGGTGGAACAAGTTAACAAAATATCAATAAATTATGAACTCATTATAATTTCAATTTGAATATTTATAACTAAAAGGGACTGTAAGCGTGATTTCAAGTAATTTTTTATTTATACCAATATCCTTGAAACCTTTGACTTGACAATGGTTTAGAGGGTGTTGTTGTGAATCAGTGATGCCACTTTTTAAATTGAAGGACACATGTAATTACTCTTACAATCCCTCCAGCACTCCTAAGTTTCCTGATGAATTACAATACTACAAAAGAAATAAATAAATCCTAATTGATGCCTAAAAATATTTCTTTAAACAACACCTATATCTAATTTACTCTGTACTGTCAAATGGCATGCTGGTGTTTAAAAAAAAATCAAAATAAATTGAATTAAATTTTTATCTATGATGCTACAAATTGATTTATCTAAAAAGCCCTTGAAAAATGTATGTTATAACATGTGTCATATGTTAGTATTTGTCAAAAGTAAAAATCAATGATTTACTTTGGAGAAAAAAACTCAGTGGAAGCAGTTGAACGAGCTGTTGAGACTTTTAGAATCTGTTTAGAAACAGATTTTCTGCAACTTTTTTCATTTTCTAATTAAAAATTGGATCAATCTCTAAAGTTAAAGTATTTTGGTAAAAAATGTTGACAAAATATTAAACGACTTTTTTCTCCTGACCGCTGGAATCGCATTTTTTTACTTAAACCTTTTTCTTCTTTTAACTGTTGGCTTACAGAAAAAAAAATTATGACTTTTGATATTGAGATGCTAAATACATATTTACTCAAATCAAATGTGTAATGTGAGATGGGGGAACATTATCTCTAAACCTTTTAATTTGAAAAATGGTGTACGCCAGGGTGCAGTTTCCTCGCCTATATTGTGTTTATATAAATGATCTCATTGTTCAACTTAGAAGTCTGAGAGTTGGTTGTCAACTAAATTGCGAATACCTTGGAATCTGGGTTTGTGCAGATGACATTTTATTATTATCTCTGAGTCAATCTTGACTATACAGTTAATGACTAATATTTGTGAAAAAATGTCCTAGTCTTAATCACTTAAAATTTTGCACAAATGTATAGTTTTTGGTAACCCTGTCATGAATACTGATATATACCTGATACTTTAAAAAAATTTACCCCTACCCTATGTAGCGGAAATTAAACATCTTGGTTACACACTGCAGTGTAATAGTTCTATGTCAAAAGGTGTTAGCTGTAAACATGCTAAATTAATTTCTAAGATACATTCTCCTAATCAAAAATTTCATTATGCGAATAAATCCACAATGTTAAAAGAACCTGTCAAATCTTTTCCTGGGATGTTTAGAAACATGAAAATTTCCCTGTATGATAATTGAAGGACTGCAGTATGGATCTGGTGAATCATATTGACGTACTAAGCCTAGGGGTGTCAGAAATGATTTTTTTTGAATTTTTTTTAAAACGTCCCATAAACCTAAAAAAGTTTAATTTTGATAAAACTTTTTGTTCTGGATGATTGCAAATATCTATCTAAATCTTTCTTAAACTGGCATATGTTTTCTATATTCATTTAGTTCCGAGATAGAGTTAAAATAAGTATTAATAAATATCGCTTAAACATATCGATGTGAAACCTTTCAGAGAGTAGGAAAGATTCTACAGAAAAAAGATGCCAAACCAAACAGAATTTTTATTTTGAACAAAATATTTAGAACTTATATAGAAACTTTTCTGGGTAGCACTTTACTCTAGTTTTGCATGATTTTCATTTGTGTAAAACAGTATAAAAGAGATTATGTTTATATGGTTTAAAACTAAACAGCTGATGATTCATTGGAGGGAGGAATGGCAAAAACACCAATTTGTAATTCCCAAATCTTTTTATGGAAAGTGATGGTAACAGGGTATAGGGTACTACAATGTACTGCAAAGTACTGGGCTTTACTGGGGTATACTGGGGGGAGGGGATACAGAAACCAAACAGAATTTTTTATTTTTAATAAAAATATATAAGTAGAGTCAGAAGCACTTCTAAGGATGTTTTCTTTATAGTTTTGCACTATTTTCATGGACAAAAAAGCTAGTTTAATACTAATCAGCTGATCACTTAATGGAGGGATGGATGGCAACCACGCCAATTTGTAATCCCCATATCTGCAGGGTACTGTTGGGTACTGATTTAAGTTCTAAATATTTTTGTTCAAAATAAAAATTCTGTTTGGTTTGGCAACTTTTTTTGCAGAATCTTTCCTACTTTCTGAAAGGTTTTACATTGGTATGTTTAAGGATATCTACTCGATATAAAGCAATATTTATTAATACTTATTTTGACTAAAACTCTTAACTAAATGAATATAGAAAAAATATGCCGGTTTAAGAAAGTTTTAGATAGATATTTGCAATCATCCAGAACAAAAAGTTTTATCAAAAATTAAACATTAAAAGTTTTATAGAAGTTTTTAAAAATATGCCAAAAAAAATCATTTCTGACACCCCTAGACTTAGTACGCTAATATAACAATTATCATACAGGGAAATTTTCATCTTTCGAAACATCCCAGGGAAAGATTTGACAGGTTCTTTTATGATATTAATATGGCTCAAATCTCTGGGATTTATACAGTAGGGATGTTCAAAAACTTCTGAATTCATGGAACATTGCTGTTTGCATTTTATTTGATCTACAAAGAGAAATCCATGGATATTTCGTTGAGCCCATTTCTAATATTCATTATATTAAAACAGTTTTATGCACTCGTTTTGTACAATTTGTGACCAGTTTATCAAATTTTCATAAGTGATGCATTCAACTTTTGGGTGGAGGTTTAGCCTAGGGGGTTGAACTTTTGGTTCACCTGCATTAAAAACTGGTACTATGAAAAAAGTTTAGTTTCAAACACATATAGTAACCCAATTATGGAATGTATTTTTAAATCCATTTTTCAAGGGCTTTTCAAAAATGTTATTTTAGATCTGTAGCTTAAGTATCAAAAATTTGAAGAATTTCTCAAATACCCAGACATTTGAGAAATTTCCCAAATGCCCAGACATTTGGGGAATTTTCCAAATGCCTAGTTTTTTGGGAATCTTTCCAAATATCCAGTCATTTGAGAAATTTCCAAAATTCTAAAAATATAACACCCTCAAATACTAATAGGAATTTGGGGAATTTCCTAAATGCCCGGGTATCTGGGAAATTTCCCAAATTCCTGGGTATCTGGGAAATTTTCTAAATGCCTGGGTATCTGGGAATTTTCCCAAATGCCTATTTTAATAAAAAATGTAAATGCTGTTGTGTCTTGGGTTAAAAGCAAAAAGGGAACCCCAGCAGCTAAAAGCAAAATGGTTCTAGATAAAAAGAATGTTTTCCAGTGATCAAAAGAAAAAAATTGTAAAATCCAATGGTTGAATAAAACAAATTCAAATATTAAACCTATAAAAAGTATGATTCCAGGGATTAAAGGAATAAATTTGAGTAAAAAAAAAAGTTAATTCAGTGGTTGATGGAAAAAAGATTCTGTAAAACAATGTGATTCCAGCAGTTGAATTAAAAAAGTTTAAACCAAAAAAAAGTTTTTTTAAATATGAAACCCAGCAGTTGACAAAAGAAAAAAGTTTATAAAATGATATTTACCGGTAAATGAACAAAAACAGATTATTTAAAAATGTGGTTATAGAGGTTGAAGGAAAAAGCAAACCCTAAAAGTTTTAAAAAATGTGGAACCCAGCAAAAAAAAGATTTGTGTAAAAAATTTATTTCCAGCCATTGAATGAAAAATGTTTCAATCAAAAAAGTTTTAATAAAATGTAAAACCTATTTTCAACCCTTTTCTAGAACCATTTAAGTTAGATATCTAATTTTTTTACATGTCTTAAAAAGTTACACAATGGAAACACTACCCTATCTTAACTCAATCAAAATCATAGGGGGGGGGGGGTAAACACACAACCTCATCTATATTAGAAAAAATAGCCTAATCTGGACAAGGTATATCATGAACATTATTATTATCATGGTTCTACTTGAAAATAATTTACTAGGAAGGAGTTTGCGGACCAGATGAATCTTGCTACAGCTTCAATGATACAGCTTGCTCTGAACTTGTCAAATCTTTCAGATCTGGAGTGTAAGTAAAACTAATTTGAAGTTTACCTTTTTTGTTCTGCAATTTACGGAAAATTGTATTTTTGCAAAGAATATGAACATTTTACCAAAAATATAAAAGTTTACCCACTTTCTGAGAAGAAAGGCTTGAATTGTACATATTGGCATTTTTTGATTTTTATTACAGAGAAATTTTAAAATGTAAACATTTGATGTAAAATAGTTCTTGATGAAAAATTAATTCAAAATGCACAGAATGATTTTAACAGAATAGTATGAATTACCAGTATTTCCTCTGGAACTATTTCCTACCTCCAAAATATTGGATACAATATACAAATGTTAGAACATAATATTATTGAACATAGGGCTGCATTAAATATTTTATGCAGGTCATAAAATTTATAAGATCAGAGACCGAATTTAAAGATTTTAAACCATGTCCCTGATCCAACAAAAAATGGTTCCAATTAACCCTATAAAGGCTGGGGGTCTGTATCTATGTTTAGCCTGGGGGGGTGTTTGGCGCCCCCCCCCCCCTTAGAAAAAGGTATTGGGTTGAAATGCATGTTCATAGTTCAGTTTTTCAAGGCCAGCTCATAGAAAAAAAAATTGACCGATAACTTTAATAGTTTGGGTGCTGAGAAGGTTAAAAAAAAATGCCTAAAAGGGTCAAAAAACTGAAAAAAATATTTTTTTGCTTTTAAACAAATATCAAAGTGTGACACATGGGTCTACATGCATTTTTCAAGGGCTTTTTAAAATTATAGTTTTTAGATCTGTAGCTTGAGTCACAAAAAAGTTAGTATATATTTTTTTTTCGCAGACCAGACTTTTTTTCCGCCCTGTACCCTACCCTATAAATAAAAAAATAAAAAAATTACACATTACTATTCTTTAAAAGTCAAAAAATTTCATGGTGATAGTGTCAAAAATGAGAGTGCTAGGACAAACACGCTACAGGGGGAGGGGTGCCACCTCTCCCCCTGCCTAAGGTTAAGCACCAGCTCAAATCTAGAAACACTGAATACAATTTCAAGGGGAACCAACCATGTTTAAACTGGTGTCTCATATTTGAGCCTCGCCTAAAATTCTTTAAATTTGGCCTCAGAAGTATCAGAAGTAGTGGAGTAAAGCCGTTGAAACTTTACATGTAAAAGGTACACAGATTGTTGTTAACCCCGTTATTTAAAGGAAATGAAGCTTGCCTCATTTAATCTTCTAATCCTGATATCTTTAAAACCAGACTATCAGACTTGCAAGATGCATTGATAATTATTAATTGTTGTGTCAGAAAATATATCTTGAAAACCATTTTTTGTTTTTTACATTCTGTACAGCAAATCAGTATTGTACAATTCAAGCAATCTTTGTAGGCAAACAAAGGATATTTTTTCATGTTTTCTAACTGAAGTATATATTGTGAGAAAAACTTTTTTTATGATGGCCTTTATATTGTCGGTATTTTTGCTTTCATGAAGCCATCATAAGGAAAGTATGACACATGTTTAGGAAGTTTGAATTATTATATTAGATCATTGACACACAAGTGCTTTACTTTTTAATTTCATTGATTATGAATTGTTTTTCACTATTAAGCTTAGAAAGTTTAAGATTCACATCATTTTCCAACAATACAAACAATAAAATTTCATCTAAAAAAGAAATTTGTAGAGATTCGGAGAAAGGTGACCTACCCTTTAATTCTTGAATGTTTTTGATTAGGATTTTCCGACCAAAGAATATATTTCCTCTTTCAAAGGTTGTTAATGATCGTTAACAAAGGGTGCCATTAATGGATGATAACACAGGATTGTTGTTAATGGTTCATAATAAAGGGTCATTTTCAAAAACTATTCATTGTAAAAACGACCATTTTCAAAAGGTAAAATAAAAACAATCGTTTTTGAAAACAACCATTTTTTAAAAACAATGTACTGTAGTGTTTAAAATGATCATTTCGTTTTTTGTTTTTTAAACGAAATGAGCGTCTTTCAAAAAGTGGAAATGATCCATTCCTAGCTACACTTAGCCTCTTATTTTATGTTTAGAATTCTCATTGCTGATCTAAAAGAGAAGATCTGTTCCACTAACCCAAGGAAAAAGAATAATGTCTCAGAAATGTTATAAATGTTCAGAAATTGTCCCACACAATATTATACCAATGTATTCCTAAATATTCACTGGCCATTCTTTTACAGACCATCCATTTATTTATAGACTATACTATATATATATATATATATAAATATAAGACAGACAAACAGACACCCAAGCCAAATTTATATATAGAAGATATATATATATATATATACATATCCATTAATATCCATATACCATATTTATTAATAATCCATGCCCATTCTTTCATTCAATAGAACATCCTCATACCATATTCATTTACAGACCAACCTTTTTTAATCTTAGACCCACCAATACTCCCCTAATAACATATTCATGAAAAAGCCATATCTATTTTTTTAGAGATTATAGCCCTTAATTTATCCTAATATTGGGCATTGTTATTTATCAATTTTTTTTAGTCTGTGGGGTTTACCCTTTTCCTACTTTGGGGGAGGGTCCTTGGGACTAGGGCTATGTTACAACTTTTTTTCAGATAAATAAAACAACAATTTTTCAGGTAGCCAATCTAAGAACAGAATATTGCCTTGATTATTTTCCATTTTTTTATGTTTGAAAATTCCATCTAACCATTTTCTCATCCATGTCATACATTCAGACATGTTGAAAAATGGCAAACATACTAGGGTTTCCATTTTTCCAGAACAAAATTTCCATTCAGGAAATGGAATGATCTGGAAATTTGTTGCGTAAACCGGAATTCCGGAATATTTCCCGATCAAATAGAAAACTGGAATGTTAACGGTTTAGGTGACGTAATCCATAAAAAAATTTCCAGTTTCCATTTCTTAAACCAGAAATATTTCGGGTTTACATAACATAAACCGTAAAATATCCAGTTTCCATTTTGTACACTGGAAATTTTTCCAGTTTCCAATTTGTAAACCGGAAATTTTTCCAGTTTCCATCTTGTAAACCGGAAATTTTTCCAGTTAAGTTAAACTTTTTTTTAAAATCTAAATTATAATAGGAGTTCTATTTTATCAAATCTTTTGACCATTTTCAAGACAATGTCAGGTTTTTTTTTCTTACCTAACATATCCTGAATTTAAAACATTGTCGCGTTTTGAAGACAAACCCCAATTTCCTATTCTTGAGCCTAATCCGCAATTCAAAACAAAACTCACTTTCATAACTTACAAAATCAATAACTGTAGGCAAAAATCATCTTATGAAGACTAAATTAATTAACTTCTGAAAAAATCTTGTTTTGTTATGTAAGTGATTAAATGCTTAAAAATAGACATTGACATGAATTCTGGTAATTGTCTCAAAACCAGGATATGTTCCAAATACGCAACATGAGCTGAAATCCTGTAGTTGTTTCAAAATAGGGACATGTTCAAAAATGAACTCAAGAATCATCAAAAACTAATTCTCACATCTTATTATAAGTTTAAAATTGACATTTGTCGCTATAATATATATAGTTTTAGCCATTTTTTTAAGTATATGGTGTATTTTGTTCTTCTTGTCTTGGATTTAAAGAGATATATACTCTTGAAAAAGATAAATTTGCAGATTTGGCAATGAAAATGGATAACATTTCTGGATCATTTCCGTATGTAAACCATAATCTGAATTCCGGTGGAAACCCTAAAACGACCTTCAAAGCACTTAAAACAATATTCTTATTATTCAGTAAATTGTGTTGTAAGACTCCTGAGGTAAACAAAGTTTTGATTTGCATATCTCCAGAGGGCTGCTTGTTTTTTTTTTTGATTTCTTTACCATTTTTTTACCCAAGCACCTTAAAATTTCTTGATTTTTAAGAAACAGAATTTTTTGTCCTTATTAGGGTTTAGGAGGGTCAGTCTGTTTTGTTTTTAAGCTATTTAGCTAAAATTTACATTTAAAAATTCATTTAAGAATGCAAAAAAATCATGTCTCACATATTAAAAGACTGGGGGCCAGGGCGTTTTTTGCGCCCCCCCCCCCCCAATGTATAATGCTTAGGGAAATAATTAAATATAATGTTTAGGGTAGGATATAGGGCAGTAAAAGTTAATGTAGAAACATGTGTCACAGTTTGATATTTGTTTAAAACAAAACAAAAATATTTTAACATTTTTTTGGGCATTTATTTCAACCTTCCCTAGCACCCAAACTATTAAAGTTATCGGTCTAATATTTTTCACTGAGCTGTCCTTGAAAAATGGGGTTTGAACATGCAATTCAACCCTATACCTATTTTCTAGGGGGCGCATGGGACGCCCCTGCAGGCTATGCATAACTTCAGACCCACAGCCTTTACAGGGTTAATAATCTTAACCCTATACCAATTCGGCTATTTAGATTGGGTGTGTATGTTCCCCCCCCCCCTTATAATTGAGAAAGGGTAGTGTGATTCATGTTCCTAGTCCAAATTTTCAAGGCCTGCTCATTAAAAAAGAATTAGAATTCTATCTTTAAGAGAGGATTTAAAAGAAGGTCAAAAAGTACGTTGGAAAAATGTAAAAAAAATATTTTACTTTTGTCAAATATTAACATGTGACACATGTTATTATATGAATGTTTCAAGAGCTTTTCAAATATATATTTTAGCCCTGTAGCTTCATAATAAAAAAATTGTTAACCATTTCTAATTTATTTGAAACACGGACTTGAAGTTTGACTGTCCTCAACCCTACCCTATGCATCAAAAAAAATGTCAGCAAACTTTATTCAAAACTATGAAGTTGAATAAGTAAAGAACTTTAAGCATTCTAATTTCAGCCTTTTTTTTTATCTATTTTGAAACTAGGGCTGGGCAAAATTCCATTATTGAATCCGAGGTTTTAAACAAAAACTGTTATTTTTAAATCATTAATGAAACAAAATTAGCTGTTTTTGAAAAAAAATTGACCGTTGAAAATGAAAACAAAGTGGATTATTTTTTTAAATGGTGAATTCAGTTTTTTTTCTGCTTAAATTGTATTTAACATTATTTACATGATTTGTTGTGAAGGCCTGTGGTGACATGGAAACGCCTCAACACAGAAAAGACTCAACACGGAAACGGATCAAAAATTATTTTTGAGGGATTTCCGTTTTTTTTTAGAAATTCGAGGAAATCCCTCAAAAGTTCAGAATTGTTGAGGGATTTCCGAATATTTTGTATCCGTTTCCCAATATTTAGAGTTGAATGGTTTCCTCTTATTTTTGATCAATTTCATAAATATTTTTTTTAAAGATGGTTCTAAAGTAAATTATCATTTTTTATCAATAAGGATGCAAAGAAAAAAAGATTTAGTTTGGGCAGTGCATAAAAGAAGAGAACCTCAGAGACACCTATTGGTGAAAAACGGAACTTGAGAATTCTGTGAGAATTTCTCAGGAATTTCCGAAGAAATATTCCTGAGAAATTCTTAGGAATTTCTTGAGAAAAATTCATGAGAAATTCTCAGGAATTTCTCGAAACTTAATCTCTTATCTAATTCCCCTAAAAATCTGTAAACTTGGTGACCAAGTTCTAAGAATTTCTCAGGAATTTCCTGAGAAGCATTCCGGCGAATTTCTCAGGAATTTCTTGGTGTGAAATTCCAGAGAAATTCCCAGGAATTTCTCGAAACTAATTCTTTTATTAAATTCCCCTTAAAATCCGTAAATATGGTGATCAAGTACTAATAATTTCTCAGGAATTCCCGAAGAAGTAGTCAGGAGAATTTCTCAGGAATTTCTTGGGGTGAAATTCCAGAGAAATTCCCAGGAATTTCTCGAAACTAATTCTCTTAATAAATTCCCCTAAAAATCCGAAAACATGGTGACCAAGTCCTAAGAATTTCTCAGGAATTTCCGGAGAACGTTTCTGGAGAAATTCTTAGGAACTTCATGGGGAAAAATTCCGGAGAATTTCTCGAAACTGAGTCTCAAAACTGTGATCCCACAAAAATCTCTCATCTTGGGGACCATTCTAGGGAATTTCTCGAGAATTTCCGAGGAATCATTTACAGGAAATGATTCTCGAGAAATTCCTCGGAAATTCCTTAAAGAAAGTCACCACGGTTGGCGAATCTGGGGAAATTCCTCACTTTTGATACTTGGGGTATCTCTGGCTGTCAAGAAACAATATTAAAATCCGGTAAAAGTCAGGTAGGGTTTCCAATGTAATAGATTATTCGTTTACCCGTAATTACGTGCAGTTACGCGTAATAATTTTCATTTCGTGTAATTGGGGAAATATTCATTTCGCGTAATTACAGCGTAATTTCCCGTAAATTATACAATTTAATTTTGCGAAATTTTGTAATTATTATGCGTAATAAGCGAAACTATAATTACCCGTAATTACGGCCTAATTTCGCATAATTTCTACAAGGTAATTTTGAGAAATTTTGTATTAATTACGCGTAATTAGCAAAACTTCAATTTCACACAATTTCTACAAAGTAATTTTGCGAAATTTTTCAATAATTATGCCTATGAAATTTTGAAGTTTTAACTTTTAATTTAAATAAAACAACTAACTTACAAGGAAAATAATGTCACGCAAGTTGAATCAGAATTTCAGCCAATACTATGTTAATGTAATTTTCACCAAAAATATTGGGAATCCCCTCAAAAATATTGGGAAATCCCTCTAAAATATTTGAATAAAATAAAGGGGAAACGGATATACAATTCTGGGAAATCGATCAAAAAAAAGAGGAAACTCCTCAAAATTTGAATTTAGAGGGATTTCCGAAAAATTTGAAGAAATTGGGGAAATTTGTTTTTGAGGGGTTTCCGCGTATTTTTGATTCGTTTCCGTGTTGAGTCGTTTCCGTGTTGAGGCGTTTCCATGTCACCAAGGCCTGTTAATGCCATTAGTTCTGTAATAATGGTACCATTAACAAATGGAGCCATTAATGATGAGGGTCTGGTTGGGATGGTTGACAGCAACCTAGAGCTACTCTCTTGGTGAGATCGAATGCCCACTAGATCCACTGTGCAGCCACAATCAGTTCTGCAGCTGCAGCTACAACTTGGATGCTCTGGAGAATCGAAGCTAGTACCTTCTGCAGATCGTATTCATATGCTGCCAGAGTCAGGAAATCCTGAGTTCATTTGTTCTTACTTAGACAGAGAATAGGATGGGGATCCAGGTAATGGATTAAAATCACATCCAGAATCCTGGTTGCAGACTGCATGGATGAGGCTGGCAGTTACTTGTTCAGAAACCCTACCGTCAGGTGTCTCTGGCTGTAAAGAAACAATATTAACGAGTTTTTAATTCAATATTATTGAAAATCTTGTTTCCAGATGTTGCCGCTAGGTTGAAGCACCGCTGCACGGACCGTGGTATTCTTAAATTTTAAATAATATATTCAATTCAGTTGTATAAAAATCACTCGCAATGTCAACGTGTGATTATTTACATATTCTATTTCAAAGTTTTGAAAAAAATATTCATTAAATAGGAATATTATTGTCCTATTGGATTCTATTTGGTAAACAAAATTATTCAAAATTTAGATAAAATGTATTCAATATTATTGTTGTGATCGAGCGAATCCAAAATATTGAATAAAATATGCAATCTTAAATTTTACAGTGCAGCCACTTTTAAAAAAAATCAGTAAGCAAGCTCTATGATTTAATAATATAATAATAAACATGAAACTTAAGAGACAAATATAACATTGTCTATTTACAAACTAACATTGGTCGAAATAGTAAAGTTACGTCTGCTTAAGTAAAATTTTATGTAAACAATAAGAGATATTTGTTAATTTGAAAAAAGTTGTATGATTTTCTGTAACATCTCTGCAAGATATATAATGAGGAGGTTTTTGTTTACAATGATGAAATCAAAATCGTCACTCAATTTTCATGTTTATTGGGACACCATGTATAAAGACAGTTTACATCCTCTGTGTGATTTAGGCATTTGATGATATCAAATTCAAACATGTTGGTGGATCCCCTTCAAGCTTTGCATCTTCATCATCAGGATCAATATCAAATATAATAACTAGGCTTCCATCACTTGGAGGCTCATCTTCATCTACTCAGGTTATTTTCTATAATTTTATTTGCATCCAATTTCCATATTTTTGTTACAAGTAGGGTATAAGTTTAACTTCACATGTGCATTATTTAAGTTTTGGTTTAAATTTTGATTTTGTTTAAATCAAAGAATTTAATCTTATAATAAGTTCATCAGCTTTTTTTTTAAAAAGGCCACAGAAAGGAAATTATTATGACAAAAAGTTTTAAATATCACCTACATTTTGACCATGTTAGGACTGCAACATTCAATAATCAAGATGTTTTGTTTAGTTTAACATAGTTCAGAATTGATATTTTAAAGATCACATTTTTTCTGCGCATAATAAAACTTTTTTCAAGCTCAAACTTGGACAAAACTTGGATGAAGGACTCGATTTTGTAATGAGTTTTTATCCAAGTTCATGACTAGTTTAAGACTGAAATTTGGAAGCCGAGATATTCTCAAGATATTTTACCAGTATTGTTCCCAGGTCACACTTGGCCAAAACTTGGATGAGAAACTCAAGTTTTCTACGACATTTAGACGACTTTTAAAAACTTTTTATGAACTAGTTTCAAACTAACATTCCATACTATTGTGTTTTCTGGGAACAAACTCTAAATATCAGACAAAACATCAACATGTACAATTTAGAAGAGTGGGACATGTGTAGAACAATATATGTAAATTTGTCGAATTGAAGGACATTTTTATAAAACCACTGTTCCCTCCACCAATTTTGCCTCCAAAACATCCCTTACTGCACTCAGGATGTTTTATAGGCAAAATTGGTCTTGTGAACCCTTGGTAGAGAAAAGTTTACTTAACTCCCCTGTAAGGTAAATTTAATGAAAATATTCGGTAAACCTTCTAAAAAAAATTCTTGATTTAAAAAGCGTTAAAAGTGTTGTCAGAGAAAAAGAAACAGAGGGGCTGGGCAGGCGATCCAGCCACGCCGCCCCCAATTTTTGGAACAGCAGTTTATGAATAAGAAAATTTACAGGAAAAAAAACAATGAAAACTATATAATGACATAACATTTTTCAAAAGCATACTAAATTTTATAATTTTCTTCTCAAATATTTAAACAATTTAAGGTAAAAAAATTTCTCTGCCAGCCCCATGCAAAATACATGAATTGGATAGGTGAAATTGTATCAGACCTGTAACTTGAACATTTGTTTTCCACCAGATTTGTGCAAAGTGAATTTGGACAGATGACGCACAAACAAACAAACATTCAAATTTTTTAATATATTTGAATATGTTTGTTCTTTTCATGAAATTTAAAATTTTCAGAATACTGAATCAGACAACAAGTGTTCTAAACGGATTCAGAAGGATGGTAATTAACATTTAAGACACTAAATACTCATATTCTTTTAACACTGTAAATATTGAAAAAACATTTTTCTGAATCATTAATAATTTCTTAATAATTTGAAAACTTTGGCTGTGAAAGATATTCCTGATTTAGTATCATTATAATAAGAAAAGTTGAATATAAAACAGTTTTTGCAGATTATTTTAAAAGGTGAAAAATGGAAAAACAGATGGGGTTCCACTTGGAACATGAGTATTGCAGAAATGTGATTAAAAATGAAAACAAAAATACATATGTTCCTGAGAAACTTCAAAACATACTTTTTGATACAAATTTTTTAAACAGTATACAATGCACTATCCTTATAACCTTAAATAAATATCATTATTTAAATAAATTACCTTTTTTCAGATTTTTTAAATTGTCCCATTTTAAGGTTTGTATACCTAAAATCTGTAACAAACTAAAATCTTAAAAATTCTGTGAAAATGCTAATCCTGGTTTTTAACAACTCACTATATAGTTTTACCCACTGAATTGAGGGAAATTAAAGTTTTTTCTAGATACATCTACTCCATCTACTGCACCTCGAAGTGGAAACTGCTCTCAAAAAAAAGTTGTGTGTTACTTCCCTAGCTGGGCCTATTTCCGTCCAGGTACTAAATGTCCATTATCCTATATTTCTAATATAAACTGATGACGAAATTTTTGTTAAGGATAGCTCTTACCTTTTGCAGCTGAGCAGAATATCCAATGCAAAAAATTATAAAGTAAAGGTTGCCTTATAGTCCATGGAAAAAATGCCATCTTAGTGCTGAAGGCACAGATGAGTGGCTAAAGTTTAATTTTGTGTTGGTATAAGGGTTTCCATGTAGGGAATGGAATGATTAGGAAATTCGTTTGTAAAGTGTAATTCTTGGACATTTCCGGATGAAATGGAAAATCAAATTTTGCCAGGTTATGTTAGGTCCCAGGTAACAATTTTGTGGAAAATCCGCAGAAATTTCTAGGAATCTTTCCCAGGAATCCTCGGAAATTCCCAGGAATCTTTCACAGGAAAATCCGCTGAAAATGTCAACAGAAATTCCAAGGAATTTCTTGTACACATTCCTAGGAATTTCTTGTATCCCATTCCAAGGAATTTCATGTAACCCATTCCAAGGAATTTCTCATCACAAAAATAAGGGAAATTCTTGTGAATTTCCAGAGAAAAGTTCTTTAGAACCAATTCCTGGGAATTTCCTAGGAACTATTCCCAAGATTTTATTAGAAATATCTTGTGATATTCCCAGCATATTTCTGAGTAAATTCACTAATAAGGACTTAGACCCAATAGCAGTGAACATCTTAACAACTATCTATGTTGCCACTTCAACTGCTTAGAAGTATAACCATCTTATTAAGTCAGAATGTAATAGTTGTTATTGATCTTACTGAAGTTGTCTTGTATTTTACATTTTCGGACAACTTAATTTTTAAGGACAAATGAAAAAATTTAATAATTTTTACAATTTTTTTTAAAAAGATGGTTTTACAGTTAATTATCAATTTTTATAAATAAGTTGTGAGAATTTCCAAAAAATTCTGGAAATTTTTTTTCCAGAATTCAGGAACAGGATTATGAAAATTTCTAGCTAATAGGAAAAAAATTGTTCCGGAATTGATCCAGATCTTCGAAACCTATTCCATAACGGAAATGGATTAAAAATCTGGATCTTATCCTATTATAAACTGTAACCTGGAATTCTTGTGGAAATCAATAGTTGGCATTCTGTTTTGGATATTATTATCATTATGATTTATTTTCACACACAAATATGAATAAAGTTAATATGGTGTAGGAATAATATCATTCTCCTTTTAAATAAGTAAAAAGAATTCTACAAACTCCTTCTCTAATTTCATAAACATATATATGCTGTTTTGAAGTAATTGAGTCATCTATTTTAATAATCAGAACAATTTCAGGAATATTTTCATTACAATTAAACATATTGATTCACTTTCTATGGGAACACATTCTAATAACTGCATATAGACTTTTCCAGTATTACATTCTTGATGTTTCTAGTAGACTTGTCATCCACCATTCACAAAGTGTTTGCACCCATTTTAGAGAACTGTAATAGACTTTGACATCCACCATTAGCAAAGGGTTTGTACCCATTTTAGAGAACTGTACTAGAATTTGACATCCACCATTAGCAAAAGGTTTGCACCCATTTTAGAGGATTGTACAAGACTTTGACATCCACCATTAGCAAAGGGTTTGCACCCATTTTAGAGAACTGTACTAGACTTTGACATCCACCATTAGCTTTGCACCCATTTTAGAGGATTGTACAAGACTTTGACATCCACTATTAGCAAAGGGTTTGCACCCATTTTAGAGAACTGAACTAAACTTTGACATCCACCATTAGCAAAAGGTGTAAACACATTCTCATTGACTGTAGTAGACTTTGAAATCCTTGAAATCCACCATTATTAAACATTTCTAGATTAATATGAACATTTCGTGATTAAAGCTGGACATGGTCACCCTTTTAAATGTTTGGAATATTTTGAGAAACTAATGATTCACAAGTTCACAACTTTTTCAAATCTTTTCATCATTTTATATTCCTTTAGCTTATACATTCTCTGATCTTATGCATGTACAACGCTTATATTAACAACAAATTTGAAGTGGTACTAAATTTTGTTCTTTCTTATTGTAGGTCTTGGCAGCTACAAAGTTGAAGATATTGATGCAAGCCTATGTTCACATATGTATTATGCTTTTGCAACTCTGGATGGAAGTACTTACACTATGAATGTTAAGGACTCTTCTCTGGACATTGATCTAAAGAATTATGAGAAGTTTGTTGGACTCCGAGCTCAATTTCCAAATAAGAAATTTTTAATTTCCCTTGGAGGATGGATGGACTCGAGGACTGACAAGTATTCTACCCTTCTTGCCTCTGCAGCTTTGAGAACAAACTTTGTGACAAAAGCTGTGGAATTTATTTCCAAGTACAAGTTTGACGGCCTGGATTTGTTTTATCAATATCCTGCATATGAGAAGCCTGTTCATGAAAAATCTACTTTTGCCCAGTTAGTAAAAGAACTAAAAACTGCTTTCAAGCCTTATGGATGGGAATTAACTGCTGCAGGGGCACATGGAAAAGAAGCAATAGATGCTGGATATGATGTTCCAGAAATCTCCAAGTATCTTGATGCAATTCATTTGATTACCTATGACACTCATGGACCGTGGGAGAGTGTTGTTGGGCATCATGCTCCCCTCTACTTTTCATCTCCCTTAGATCAAGTTACAGTGAACTTTACGTAAGTTTATTTACTTTTGGAATAATTGTCAGTTTTGTTAAAATTCTCAACTTTAGGGTAAACTACTGGTTGAGTAAAGGAGCTCCTAAAAGCAAATTGATTGTTGGAATCCCAACTTTTGGTCGATTATGGAAACTTTGCAGTTCTTCAACAAATATTGGATCAAGAGGATGTGGGCCAGGTACTCCAGGTAGCATCATTTGGGATCAGGAGGGGTTCCTTAGTTACCAGGAGATATGTCTGGAACTAAGTAATGGGTGGACGGTTGTTGATGATGATACTGGTTCCCGTGGGCCTTATGCCTTCAAAGGAAACCAATGGGTTGGATATGATGACCCATTTGCTGCAGGACGCAAGGCTAAGTACATTGGTGACAATGACTTAGGCGGAGCAATGATCTGGGACTTATCATCAGATGATTTCAATGGCAGATGTCCCAGAGGAAAATATCCCATGATATCGACTGTGACCAATGTATTTAAGGTATAGTTGGAAAAAGGGCAGAATGTTGGATTGATGTGAGACAAAAGTAAAATTAAGTTGTTTTGGTTTCCTGAAAGCCATTTCACCAAAGTTCTGTCAAAAAATATAACAAATTAACATTACATTTGTGCACCGGTTATTGACAAAGAATAACATTTGTTTTTGGACTGAACACTAAACTTTTAAAGTCTCAATTTTTTCAGCATGATCTTTGCCAGGGAACTTAAGCTAGACCTTAACTGCATCTGAAACTAGAAGCTGAAGATAGATCTGATGATATTATAGATGTATGTCAGTTGAAACAATAAAATCTCATAATCCAGCTTGCCGGATAACTATTTGGTTCAATTTTAAATAATTTAGGACATATTAAAGAGATTTGTTTTCAATACAGTAGGACTTCATTAAGAAAACAGAGTATTTTGAAAATTAACAAAGGCATCCATTTCATAACAAACAGCAAAAACAGTTAATTTTTTAATCATACATAAGTAACAATGTTAAAAAAAATTAACAGCAGCTTTTATTCTTTTTTCTGCTTAAAATTTGAAGAAAAAATAAATTTTAATATATATTTTTAACACCATCTACTGATTTTTCCTTCCTTTGCTTAATTGTTGAATTAAAGAATGTTGTGCATTTTGATGTTTCTAACCTGTTATTATGATTTTTATTTCTAAAGCATTTCTAAAGTACATAATTTTTTTTGTCTTTTATCTTATATTCTAGGTTCCTTTCAACCACTTGCTTCTTTGTATGCCAAATAAGTAAGCTTTTAATATTTACCTTATACATTTATTTAAAGAGTTTGAACCCATTCAGGCTTAACTCCCAATTACTTGGATATTCCCAATTGTTCTTAAATCTCTTTCTATTATAGTTCCCAATTCACCTAATTTATTCCCAATCAATCTATTATTTTATCCCAACTGTTTATTGTTTTTAGACTCCCAACTTAAAGGGAGTGAGCGAACATTCCCTTTAAGTTTCCTACATCCTTTTGTTTACCTTCATTCTTACTTTAAATATTTCCACATCCCAATCTTATGATTTTTAGTTTGTAAATAAGAACTAAAAGATGAAAATGTTCAAGGTATTTTATTT